GCTATAATATTTTTTTTGTCCAATCATATTACCTCATTTATCATGAAATAACCAGATTGTCATTTCAATCCTAAGCAGGCATATTGACCTGCTGCCTGCTTATTCCCTCTTCTATATAGTATACTAGTTGGATTAGTCCGGGCTATGCCCGGGCCCAATTATAATAGCCAATTTAGGTTCTACACAATTTTGTGTGTTTACATACAAGGAAGGTGTGATCAACGAAAATATTATCATCATAGGAAGAGTCAATTCTGATTACGTGAGAATGTTTGGGCCAGAAGCGCTTCTCTATCATCAAAAAGAAAATAATATCATGTGTACTTATGTGAAAGCAAAACTGAACTCACCCAAAGTTGAATATTACTGTCCGTAAAAAACTGTCAGAAATGTGGAAATCGGCTTTGCAGAAGGAAATAAAAAGTTAATCCAATATTTTCTACCATATCAAGTGTTCTACTCAAATGTCAAATTTCAGAACAATTAAGCCTCCATAGGGCAAAACAAACTAACAAGACAAATCGAAGTACATCGTACAATAATCAACATTAGGAACTTCTTCAGAGATGCATGGACATTCACTTTTAAATTGTCAAATTAATCAACTTCAACATTTCAACAGGACACTGATTTAATTATTTTCTAAAAATAAAAGTTAGAGATTCACAAACTGCGTAGTAGATACATGATGGTGTTGTCATTTCAAAATGATACAAAAAGGCTAAGAAAACATAGAAATATATTTATTTGCTTAATCATAAAAGCAATTATGGTCTCCCTTCTATTAAATGGATAACGTAGAAGAATTATAGATCAAGTCAAGTGGACAGAATTGCGAGAACTCCAAAATACCTTTAAACAATCCTGCGTGTTGACAAGAAGTATTATCAAGCTAGTGTCTAGAAAGATAACTTTTCCTTTTTGGTTCACAACTGTAAACTTTTCAAGTTCTACTTTATTTTGGTCTCTCAGATAGACTCTTTGTCTATTAGTTGCAATTTTGTATTGTTCTTCATTATTCCAGATTTCACTGCTGAACCTAAGTTTTTGATATTTCATTCAAGTAAAAAGTCTAAACACTTACTATGGTAAAAGCATGCCATCAAATAAATGAGAAGTCCAATTAAGAGCCATGTAGAAGATGCTTTCTTGATATATAGCAGCAGATCAAGCAAGAATAACTTCACAAAATCTTACCAACATAGAAGGATTATTACATACAGAGAGCAGCTACAGTATCTTATTAACTTATGCAGATAAGCAATCTAGTTTACAATGTGCCAAATAGTCCTGTTTAAAAAAATTCTGCAAACATAGCATTAAAAGTGCAGAGATTATGCACACATCAAATCTTTAAGAAGCAGCGAGTACACTATTATCCCTCCAGTCTTGTATCACAAAAACTATACTGATTTTATATATCCTCTATACAAGCTGTTACCAAACAAAGAAAAAATTACAGATTAATGGTTTCAGCTATGATATAAGTTATACATATCAGTAATCTCAAAATTAAGCTTCAGCTCGATTAATAAAAGATGGAGAAGATAGTTCACTAAGAGAATGGTCGTAGCTAGAAAATAATTCATAAAGAGAATGATCATAGCTACAAACCAGAAAGCAGCTCCTTCACGGGGAAGTTTTAGCGTTATGACGTGGTAACAAAAGATAAAGCTGGACGTTATAGTTTTACCTCTTTCATATACATAGAATGAACGAGACATACTTTTTTCTTCATTAAAAGAACTTGATAAAGTACTAACTTCATAGCTTCCACTTACTGCATTGAATATGAAATACATTCAACACTAAGTTAGTATTAAGGTAAACTAATAGAAGTAGAGAAAACCCAATATGTCATTCTAACATTTGACATTAGCAGAAGAGAACTCTCTTATAGTAAGTGCACTTTGTTTTGACAACATTGGTGGTTTGCTGAAATGTAACTTTTACAATTAGGAGACTCTTTTCCACACGATTCCAGAAAAGAAATGACACAGGAGCTCACGGCAAAGACTGAAAATGACTGCAGCGCAAAACATGTGCTTAGTCCAATTTCTCCGGCTGATTTGCTGCCCTTTTGGAGTGCCATACATGCTACCACTGCTATCTTTTTCAACACAATTGGAAATCACTTATTTATCTTCAAGACACAACAGAAAACAATACAAGTAGCTATCAAAACTTGTGGTAAAATTGTAATTACAAAATAGGAAAGCACTGATTGAAAAGAACTAATTTTTTAACAAAGAAGAATAAATTCAGAAAGAGTAGAATCGAATCAACAAATAAAAATACAGCAGTGAAAGATGTAATTCGTTATAAACTGAATAACTTAGTTTCCTTCAAATATATATATATGATGTTAATTATTAGTATGTATCATAATAGTTGAAGGAAAAGAATAATGAGGTTAAAGATGATCTAGAAATTCTCCAAGTAGTTGGATAATTTTGAATAGTAGAACTAATCAGATCGTTGAAATATCCAATACAAAATCAAGAATTGAAACAATATCTAAGTTGGAAAATAGAAGTACTCTATTATAACTTGGTTAGTGTCGTAGAATTTTTTAGTACCAACACGTGGAAGCATTTCACGTTATAGGATCTCTTTGACACACCTACAAATGAAAATATAGTAGTGAAGGATCTAACTTGCAATAAACTGAAAAACCCTCCTCCATGTGTTGTAGTTATACTACAACACAGGCGGAGTTAAAAATTTGTTTTTTTTTCAATTGCAACACTGGGGTGTCCTTTATTGAATCCATTACTTTTCAGTAGGAGCAAAGAATCCAAAAGAACAGTTCCACGAAGTTAACAAAATCAAAGTCATCAATAGGTTACTGACAAGAAGGCTTTTTGAATAATTTCATCATATAC